TTTGTCAGCCTCTAAATTTACTAATTGAAACCTAGAACCAACACAGACCAGTTACTTATTATATAAATGAATCTATTAATTCGAAACTTTTTATAGCCAAACAAGCAACAATAAGCAGTTTTTCCCTAGAAGAAAGGGAATCAACACCCAAATTTTTCTTTGGATTTTACTTCTATTTTTGCTTAGGTCACCGTTTTCTTGTTAATATTGATTTTAAATTACATCGCATGAGTCCCTTCTAGTATATAATTTTATTTTTAGGAAACAATATTCCTTGTTGTTATGTTTTTTACTTTTTCTTTTTTTTCTTTGACTTCCTCTGGTTCCGACCAATAAGATTTTATGCACTCATGACCTAGTTCGCTTTTTTCAAGCTACTCTAGTTCTCCCCCTTGTTTTATAAATACGGAGTTAGAGATATATAAACGACAGGCTAGTCTCTTGTGCTAATAATTTTTTTTACTGTTAAGATAGTAATACGGGTCTTTAGTAATCTTTCTACTTTTTACTTTCTAATTACTTTTATTTTCTAACTAAAAGTGATAATTTTTAATTTTGATATTTCTCGGATCTATACCCCTTTAGGTATGTAATAACATAACTTATATATATATATATAATTAAATCAAATGTGAGAAAGAGAATTAGTGTTGCTTAAGTGACACCAACACGACAAACTAGGCTACGTTATGTGGAAGTTTACAATCCTAAACTTCTATCATCAGATTTGGTTATGTCTGGAGTTTCATACACCGCATAGACAGAAGTGACTCAATCGTTTCTTTCAACCTTACCTTTTTTATTATTTAAAAGTACTGTTGTGTGGTTCCAATTTTTTTTTTAAGTGATCAGTAGAGACTCTGTGGTTTTGAGACTGAGGTCTGCTTAATTCCTGTCAAACTCAATCGTTCCGTTACATCCTTAGGCATCGCTTAAAGGTCTTAAATGACGACTCTGGGCTGCAGGGCGCGCGTCAAAGTCTACGGTAGTGATGTGAACAACCTACCAATCCGTTCGAACACGCTATGTTGATTGTCTTTGCAATTATTCCATAAGGACCCTAAATTTGTCAAAGGCGTAGAAAGCAACTGTGCAATGTAGTGACGCATGGTATCTTCATTCGAAATCTATTCTCATTCTTTTATATCAGTAGTGCGGGTGATATACAAAGAACAACAACTGGAAATCGGAAGCATATACTGTGTTTGTTTATGCCACGGAGTTTACTATTACTGACAAAGAAAATTATGACAAATAACTACTTTATTTGTTCTGGAAAGGCTAAATATGATGCCAAGATAATTATCTAACGCCTCAAAAACATGTTTTTTCCACTTTATTTTTAATATTGTTCATACTTATTCAAGCTTATTCATCTTATGCTTTACGAATGCTAAGATGGAATAGTTATTTTCTCCTTTAAAACAGCTAACTAAACACATTGAAGCTGACAAGTGATCATCATTTAAGTTTCCTTGTCACTTTGCTGTCGTTTCTACTTCAATTATATTTCCCATTAATCTGAATCACTACTGACATAACATAGAGGACAGCAATATCGCTAGACTTTTATTATTTTATCATCACTCTTATGTATTAACATTTTTTAAATTTCTTTCAGTTATAGTTGACTTTTTTTAAAAAATACAGTGAACATATCCACAGGATAAAATTTATAATTTTATATATCAATATTTGCCCATCTTTAAATCCTTATCCATAAAGCTGATTTAAGAATACATAAAAATATTAAATTTTTCGCCATAAGCTCTAGGCCATTTATTTTAACGTAATTTTAGCTAAAAGCTAGCACTTAGAAATAATTTTTATTAAGGAAAAAATTGATTTTCAACGCTATGACTAGTGATACTTCTTACATAAAGTCTAACAGTGCGGCAGATTGGCACCACGTGGTAGTGT